GTGCAGGTTTGTAATCTCAGTATTTAGGAGGCAGAGGCAATTTGAGGCTAAGTTCAAGTCCAGCCATGGATATCTATCAAGACCTTTTTCAAAAAAGGAAATTAAGTGTGCTTTAGAAGATACATGATTTGCCGGGTGCTGGTGGCTCATGCCTGTAATCCTAGCTACTCAGGAGGCTGAGATCTGAGGATTGCGGTTCAAAGCCAGTCTGGGCAGGAAAGTCCTTGAGACTCTTATCTCCAATACAGCACTAGAAAACTGGAAGTGGTGCTGTGGCTCAAGCAGTAGAGCACTCGCCTTGAGCTGAAGAGCGCAGGGACAGCGCCAAAACCCAGAGTTCAAGCCCCATGACTGACAAAAAAAAGAAGATACATGATTTTAACCTACTGTTCATCTTGTTTTTAAGGGATGGCTTACATGTAGCGGTGAAAATTGTAAAAAATGTAGGCCGTTATCGTGAAGCAGCTCGTTCAGAAATCCAAGTATTGGAACATTTAAATAGTACTGATCCCAATAGTGTCTTGTAAGTATAAATTTGAACCAGGAACCATCTTACTACAAAATAAACAGTTCTTCAAACTGAATTATCATTTTGCTCTATTCCAGCCGATGTGTCCAGATGCTAGAGTGGTTTGATCATCATGGTCATGTTTGTATTGTGTTTGAACTGCTGGGACTTAGTACCTATGATTTCATTAAAGAAAACAGCTTTCTGCCCTTTCAAATTGATCACATCAGGCAGATGGCTTATCAGATCTGCCAGTCAATAAATTGTAAGTATACTTGATATACTTTGAACTACCAGAAAATCTTGTAAACCTCCTTTGACCAGTATGTTCACCATTATCTATACTCTTCCCCTTCCAATACCAGTACGTTTCTAAGTGAAGCTAATGATGTCTTTTTTCTTTGTAGTTTTGCATCATAATAAATTAACCCATACAGATCTGAAACCTGAAAATATACTGTTTGTGAAATCTGACTATGTGGTCAAATATAATTCTAAAATGGTAAGTTACAGACTTTTAGTTTGGGTGGTTTAGTCTTTAACTTCGTGATCCTTAAATGAGGAAGTTCACTTCTGAGTCTCACTATGTCCTGTTTGGTAACCATAAATAGAATAGGAGTAGGTTGATGGTTGAATGGTAGAGCACATGTACTCTTCTTCCTTATGAACTTATTTGACAAAGTGGTACGTTTGGGGCTACAGGTGGAGGAGTGTTTGCATCTCATCCGTTAGGCCCTGGTTTTTGTCCCTAGCACCAAAACAAAAAAGATAATTCATGTGTAAGTCTTTTTTTTTTTTTTTTTTTG